AACTTCTTCCTTCATCACCATAGGCTCTTGCTCATATGTTATTTCTTTAAATTCCTCTGTATCTGCCAATTCCTTTCTATATAATGACTCCGTATGAAAGCGGGAACAGTTATAAATACTCCTTAAATAAAAACAAATACCTCAGAGGATTGTTTTTTCTGAGTTTGAAGGCTTAGGGTCTTAGGCTCATTGGACAACCCAGTCAATTGGCATAATATAGTATATCTCAATATCAAGAAGACAAATACCCTCATCACTGGGCCAGTAGGCAGCAGCATCATGATAGGTAGAGAAGAGATTGAAATTGTCAAAAATTTCATATTCCTTGGATCAACAAATTAACAGCCTTGTTAACAGCAATCAAAAAATCAAAAGATGTGCTACACTTGGAAAGTCTACTGTTAGGGACCCCTCCAAAGTACTAATGAGAAATTATATCAGTTTAATGACAAATATGCATCTAATTCACCCCAAACAATATATCTCCTTATCTCCTGACTGTTGGTACCAAGGATGTGGACTGTGGATACAAGAGAGATTAAATCATCGACAGTTTCAATCTTTTCTCCTTGTATCATGATGTTACCCATCAGCCTAGTAGTAATGACCTTTGTTTTCTTGATACTGAGGTGTAGTCCATATCAAAGGCTATACTTTTTGATCCTCTACAACAAGTGGTTCAGATCCCCCTCCCTTTCAGCAAAGTAAGCAAGATTGTATCATCTGCCTAATACAAGTTCTTGATAATTCTTCCTCTGAACTTATGATATATTCTTTTTCATAAAGTTCAGCTTCACAAATTATTTGTTCAGTATGCAGAACAGATTATCTGGGAGGCTGGCTCTATGAGGAGAAATGTCTTTTAATCACTTTCTATGCATCTGAGATCTGGACAATGAATAAGGAAGACAGAAGGATCAACACCTTTTGAGTTATGGTCTTGGAGAAGAGTGCTGAATATCCAGCCCATGGACTTTCAAAAGAACAAAACAATAAGTTCTCTTTAGAGGCAAGGATGGCAAAACTTTGTCTCATGTATGTGGTTAGAGGGGTTATTCCATAGAAAGGTTTATCACGCCTGGAAAGGTTCAGAGTCAGTGAAAACAAGGGAAATTTTCAACAAGAGGATTGATACAGTGACTGCAGCAGGGGGCTCAAATATGTCAGAGATGATGAAGATGGCACAGGATAGGACTGGGTCCAGCTCTGTTGTTCATAGGGTCATTGTGAGTTGTACCTGGCTCGATGGCACCTACCAACAGCTTAATAAAATTATTGTTGTTGTTATTGTTATGTGCCATCAACACACTTACGACTCATAGTGACCCTATGTACAACAGCTCTGAAGCCTACCTTGTCCTGAGCCAGTCTCACTGACTCCAACACACCTACCCCCATTACTCCAGTTACTGTGTGAATCCATCTCATCTGGGGTCTTCCTCTCTTGCGCTGTCCCTCCGCCCTTCCAAGCATGATGTCCTTCTCCAGGGATTGGTCCTTCCTGGCCATGTCTCTAAAGCATGTGAGACATAGCTTCAAAATCCTAGCCTCCAAGGAGAACCTTGGTTTCATCCTCCCCAAGCTAGACCTGTTTGTTCTCTTGGTGGTCCATAAAATGTGGAATGTATATTCCACATCCTAGTTAGTTGAGTAGTGGTTGAGGCCTTAAAAGCTTGAAAGAAGCCTTCTAAGATACACGTCTCTACTCACCTGGAATAAAAGAGAAAGAGAGAAAAACTCAAAGAAGAAAACAGTCTACAGGACTAATGGTCTAGGTGAGCCAGAGCCTCGTCCACCCTGAGACCAGAAGAACTATATGGTGCCCATCTACCACTGCTCACCATTCTGAGCAGGGCCACCATAGATGAATCCTAACAAAAGGATGGGGGAATGTGGACCAGAAATAATCTACTTTTTAGAAGCTATACTTAATTGACTGGTGGAAACGGGAAGACTCAGCCTTGAACCAGAAATAGCTCCTAAAGTGACCTTTTAGCTAAGCAACCGATTGACACACAAGATGAAGAATATCATCTGTGGGTACTGTACTCCCTTTTAAAGAAAAAAAAAATCTGTATGAGACCAAATGGTCAACAATTACCACACTACTGGAATGCCCATTGGAATGAAAAACAAAGAGGAACATAACCAAATTAATGTGGCTGGGTTTTTCCAATAAAACTTTATTCATAGATGCCAAAATTTGTGCTTCATATCATTTTCACTTGTCAAAAAGTATTACTTCTTTTCCCAATGATCTAATAGTATAGAAGCTTTCTCCATTTGAGAGACATACAAACAGAGTCGGCAGGCTAGATTTGACCTGTAGATCATACTTGGCTGACTCTTGCATGAAGGCTAAAATAAAGTCAAATTTATTCAGTCTGATGATTCAAACTACTTAATTTCATATGCTTTTGTTTTCACAACTGAGCATAAAGTGTTTGTTTCTCTGCTTTTTTTACCAGACTCTGGAAATATGGTGGTGTCACATCCCATTGCTGCCACCACACCTGAAGGGAGCAACTATGGAGCAATAGGTATATTTCTTCTTATGAGTCCATTCAAGGTATTGTTTCCTAATTCTCCAGGCCATGAGATACACAGGGCCCTCTAGCCACTACGGCAGGCAAGGCAGTCATCACATGAGATTGTTTTTATTTATTGGTTGTTTAGATGATCAGAAACACACTTCCAGTTTTTGTCCAGTGCTATTCTGTTCTTGGACTCTAGCTGCATTTGCGTATTAGCCCTCACCGTGGCATTCTTCACCCACCAGGACCCCAGTGGGGACTCCATTCTGCCCAACTTGAGCTTAGGGCTTGAGTCTCATGCCAGAGAGAGAGCCTATTGACTAACTGTTTCATTCTCAGGTTTCAGAGGAGTAAGGGCGAACAGAAGACTAAGGCCGTGCTGCAGGTGAACGTGGCTACAGCTTAACAATCTTTCATTTTGGCTAACTCCATTACTGAACTTGCCGCCACCTAGTCATTCACATGGCGACCCAAGTGCTCATTAAAAAGCCTGGGAGGAATAGAATCCTCAATCCTGGCTCGTTAGGGGAGGGGTGTGCTGAGCTGCCCAGCCTGCCCCTCATGCTGGTGAACCTATAAATGGTGCTGCTTCAAATGCCAGTGGAGCAGGGCTGAGAATCCTGTATCCCTGCCCTGTTTTTCTGTATCTTTGAGAAGCATATGGGCTTAGTGCAGGCTACTTATTTCTGGCTCTGTAGGAACAGGATTTTTTTTTTTTTAAAAAAAAAACCATCTGAACAGAAGAAATAAAACGGAAGGTAGGCTCTGCTCATGTGCTCATCAAGCTGCACAAATTCCCATCTGCTCTGGAAACATTCACGGGAACAGAAGGACTCTGCCTCCTGAGAATGTTGTTATATCATTATATAACCACAGATGCAGCATGCGGGGATCCCTGTGTACAAATCTTTTAGTGGAGAGACTTGTATGCTGGATATATGTGCTTACACATATATGTGATAGATGCTATACATAATAATGCATGAGTATGCTTATATGTTTTATGTTCATATTTTCAAATATGAAACATAAAATGGAAGCACAGTGTGATTTTTTTGCATCAATGTGCACAACGTGATTCTAACAGAGCAGATGCCACTGTGTTCTAATATGTCTTCAGCTCTGGAGTAAACGTGTTCAGTATAAAACCAGGAGATGAGAGAAACCCAGAGCCCATTGAGGAGGGATTAAAAGAAAGAACCTGTGTTCTGGGTCAGGGAATGGTTTTGACATGCACAGTATTCTCGGGAATGAGTCAGCCCTGTTGCCTGTTGCGAGGAAGGGCTGCACCGAGGGGCACTTGTCCGCGTGTGAAGGCAGCTGTGTGCTCTCTGTTTCAGATGAGTCAAGTTCCAGCCCCGGCAGGCAAGTGTCCTCCTCAGACGGGGGGCAGCCAGGCCAGTCAGACACTGACAGCTCCGTGGACGAGAGTGATTTCGACACAATGCCGGATATTGAGAGTGACAAAAACGTCATCCGGACCAAGGTAACGCGGCCTGGACATGCACTTTGCGATTGTCAGAAAGTTTGGTAGTAGCTACAACTTCAGCATGAGCCCCTCTTCTTTTGACTTTCCTTCTTCAGAGGATGTAAATCTTCTACAGGACATAGATAAAGCATTCAAAAATAACAGCCTATTGCAAGTTGTCATGAAATCTGTTCTGATTCATAGTAACGAACTATCTCCGAGTAAGGGAGCTCAGGTGGCTTAGTGGTAAGGAGTAGTTGTATCGTCCACCCAAAGGTACATAGTCATAGTTCCACTCGCCACTCCGCGGGAAAAGATAGGCAATCAGCCCCCGTGCAATTCACTGCCTTTGAAAACTGCTGGAAGGGTCAGTTATGAGTCAGTTCTAACTTGATGGTGCACAGCAATAACATCAACGTATGTCAGAGTCTAACTGTGTTCCACAGTAGCTTTTTATCTTAATTTTATCATTATTTTCTATGCGTGTACCGTCAAATCGGATCTGACTGGTACAGGAGGAGATTGTCCCTCCTTCTCCAGCAGAGCATCTGGTGGATTCAAACCACATGCCTCTGAGATTGCAGCACAACTTCTTGTCACTAGGCCACCAGAGCTCCCTAATAGCTTTTTTTTTTTTTTTAAAACAAGTGGACCTCCACTCCTTTGTTTGGAGGCACCTTTCTTTGGTAGACTTAACCACATAACCTTTAAATTAGCAGCGCCATGTGTTAATCTCTTCAACCAACTCACTTTATTAATTAGCACATTTTTTCCCCTTGGGGACTGAATAAAGAAAGTGAAAACAAAGCTTTAAAACACTCCACTCATAGCTGACCCTTCGTTGGGCTTCCCAGGCTGCAGGTCGAATGAGAGGTTGCCCATCATTCTCATGAGGATATACAGGTGATTTCGAACCACTGGAAAGGCTCAGCACTAGGGTTAGCCTCACAGCTCCCTATGGACTAGACCACCAGAGCCCCCAGTTAAAAACATGGTAGGGTATAAAATGCCTGGCTGTTGCAAATGAAGGGTAAAATAATCCAACCATATGGGAGAAGTAGATTCATTTGAAGTTGCCCCTGATAAAGAAGGGTACCCTGGTGGCATAGTGGATAAGGGCATGCCTAGTACCCAAAAAGTCAGCAGTTCGAACAGCCTGCTACCCCTCACCCCAGCCACTCCTCAGCAGAAGGATGAAACCATTTGTATTAACAAAGATTACAAGCTTGAAAACCCTGTGAGACAGTTATACTTTGTCCTCAGTGGTCACCGAAAACCCTGTGAGCCTGTTATACTTTGCCCTCTGTGGTCAACTTGAAAGTTTTATTTGATAACACTCCCTGATTCTGTATATATCATTCTTTAGAAAGAAAGTTCAGTTCTTTCCGGTATATATGTTATAGTGCTATATCCAATAAAGAATACACAGTTTCAACTCTCTATCATGCAAGAGAAATGCAGTGGAAACCTCTAAAAGCTTGGAAATTTTTTTTCTTTTTAAAACAATCCCTTTTTGAACTGTAAGAAACATTCAGAACAGCCAGTAATTCTTCCTCACCAGCTAGTTCGTAGTCTGATAAGGAAGATACTAGAATTTTTATTAATATATCCTGAGTGGGGAAAATTATTTGAAAAGGCTTGCTGATTAATTAATTGACTACTGTGCAAAGAGAGGAAATTGCATCATGTCCAGCAACATAACAGAATTCAACAGGGCAGCAAATAACACATGTTGGCAAGTCTGGGGAGAGACTGGAACTCTTATTCACTGCTCATGGGAATGTGCAGCCACTATGAAAGGCAGTCTAGCTCCCTCTCAATGTTGGAAATAGAAATACCATTTGACCCAACAATTCCACTACTGGTAATATACCCTAAAGAAACCAGAGCCGTGACTCAAACAGCTGTATGCACACCCGTTTTTAATGCTGCATTGTTCACAATAACATCCCAATAAGCAACCCAAGTGCTCATCAACAAATTAATGGATAGATAACCATTCATGCAATGGAATATTACTCAACATTGAAAAACAATGAACTAAAAAAACATTACACAACATGGGGAAGCCTGGAAGACATTATATTGAGTGAAATATCTCGGTCGCTACAGGACAAATACTGCATGACATTGCCTTCATAAAATAGGAGTGGCGTGGTAGAATTGGGGAGAGAATGGGAAAAGAGTGGATAGACAATGAACCTGCAATAGAACAGATGAGGGGAAGGACTAGCAAAAAGAATATATGACTTGGCATTGTATGTATGACAACAACCTAGACCGAGGGATGCATTGTGGGGTGGACTGGGGCAGGGGAAGAGGGGGAAAGAAAATGTGCAACAGTCAATACAATTTTTTACAAAGCTATACTGCAATCCCAAGGCAAGTGGTTCAAATCCACCAGCTGCTCCAAGGGAGGACAGACAGTCCCTTCCTGTGCCATTTACTGCCTCTGAAAACTGGAGGGTCAGCTATGTGTTGCTTCTGACTTGATGACACAGAACAATAGCAAATATACTTAGTACTGGGATTGCTGGATCAAATGGTATTTCTATTTTCAACTTTTCAATCAAGCTTCTTCCCATACTTGTAGCAATTGAAATTGTCATTTTCTTAAATTTTAAAGGATTTTTAAAATATATATATGCACTTTTATTTCCAGGGTTACAACTAGTAGGAAAAATTACTCTTTCTCTTATTAGAACTTTTCCAAGAGTTGTTGGCCAGTTTAGAAAATCCTATCACCTACAACCCTATTTTAGTTATCGGGAAATACACAAGAGTAGGATCCAAATCTGAAACGGTCCCATTCACGTTAATCCTACAAATAGATACAATTAGAAGTGGTTGGCATCTCTTTTCAAAGATCAGATGTTATCATTTAAGTAGAAAATCTTCATTAGGAATATTTTTTTCACTCACTAAACTAACTCATCTTTAAATGTTAACTATTTTCTTATGTTTCCTTTTCTTCATGAATGGCTAGTAAAGAAATATTTTATAATTATAAAAGGGTATAATTATGAATAAAATTCAAATATGTAATGCTCATCTTTGTGTTTTATAAAAGAAAAGCCAAGTGTAGCTTCATAATCTCTTTCTGTTTTGCATCCCAGATGTTCCTCTACCTATCAGATTTGTCCAGGAAGGACCGGAGAATTGTCAGCAAGAAATATAAGATTTATTTTTGGTGAGTAAATGACCAGTATTACTGTAGTTCCTCAAAGTAAAATTGAAAGATTAAAAAAGAGAGAACATTTTCTTTGCAAATCCATAACCATTTATGCCACACAATTTCAGTATTTAATGAACCATATATATATAGGGATCTATGCTACATTCCATTGTTGTTGTTGTTATGTGCCATCAAGTAGTTTGTGACTCATAG